GTTAAGGAATGGCTGGAACGAACAGGGATAGGTACATCCAGCTCTTAAGCCTTGACAGGGTTAAGCTGGTTGAGTCGGCCCTTTACAAGGCTTGGGAGCCTGCGAGTGACGAGCCATTGGACGTAGAGAGGGTCATTAATTATACATACATTTTGTACTTTTTCGAAGATAAGCACGAGAACGGTTTGTTCAAACATATGAATTTAGTCTTATTCAATGCAGGATTAAATGCTCTTCAACCGTCATGAAGACCAGTTTTTGATAGGGTAAGTCCTTTATGCGATATAACCGTAAAACCGAAAAAACGCCCCATTCGGGGGCCCCCACCACTTAAGCACAACTCCGTCGAAGTCGAAAATTTAGGATAGTCTTAATGGGTAACAAATGAAGCCATTAAAACAATAAAATCTTTTGTAGGAATTATTTCCGATTTCAAATGTAATTCTATTTTCCTATTGGGCAGTTCGATTTTTTAAGTTGTTTATTTAATCAAAATTGATTTCTATTATTTTCATTAAAACGTCATTAGCAGGTTAGTAGCTAATAACAATGTCAGTTACCAACTGGTTGGTTACTTCATTCAATGATTAAACTTTTAATTTTTTTATATTTTCAAAATAAAAATTATTTAAAAATATCCCTAGTATATTCCTAGTTATATGAGTATTAATTTACATACTATTCTCGTATTGAAAGCGGTTAATAACTTCATAAAATAACATCAAAGACTTGAAATATCGCCTACCGAAAATTCAAAATTTCCAAAGCTTGCTACGTGCAAAGCGGCACCCAACGGCACAAGAATTGTATGTCATCTTGATCGCCATGTATGGTGCAATAGCTCATGTGAGTACCAGCCCTTCAGTTCTATTCAGTTTAAAAAAAATCCACTTTATGTGTTTTTTTCCATACAAAAAAAATAAAAATATTTTTTTTCTCACACATGGAGCTACTCATACCCTTCATACTATATTAGTAAAACAAAGGGAGGTATACTAAACACAATACATATTTTTATTTATTAATTTCTGACATTAAGTTTCTATGGTATGGGAGCTTCATTTTCAGACCACTGTGTGGCGTGTGCATTATATTGCTTTAATTATGCAGTAGATACGACAGAGCCAGTTTAGCAAGATAACAAGAAAACCGACGGAGCGTACGTTCTTTGAGCATAAAATTATGCTCATTGCATTATACTCAATTATGTAAATATTATACAAAAACCAGTTTAATTTTATTCATTTCAATTATACGATATGTTACATTAATATTTCTTGTAATTTTCTACCGGAGATAATATAACAGAAACAGATTTCAAATCAATTTACCTAGTTTCAAAATAACTCGATTATTTCTGGTATTCAGGTCTGAAATTGTTCGTGTTCTTTCTGGTGGATTGGTCTTGCCACAATTTCTTAGTTGCTCAAAAAATATTAAAGCTATTTAGATATCTATTGGGTTTTAATCCAATAAATATTTTGCCTTATGTGCCCACACTTTGGCACGTGCTGACTGACGAGTTGATAAACTATGTTACAAACAATTTTGTTATTCAATTGTAAAAATAACGTAAGTAGTTACTTCTAATTTGTTGTTTATACTTCTCGAATATTCCAGCGACTGACTCATTCAATTTTAGATTTCCGCATCGCTCGATAACATTTTCGCTAACCATTATGAAATAACTGATAATGCTCGTCGATCACTTCCTTAGAACCGTGCAAAAATAATTATCAGTATCGACCGTATCTCTCATTGCCGCTTTATCTTGGCAATCGAGGAATTGTGAAACGCAATTTGTAAATGCGGACACCAAACGACTTTGAAGACGGTATATCAAGCTGTACAACGGTGGCGTCTTAAGTACTTGTTATAAATATGGTTTTGCAATAAAAATGTAGTCAAATATGCTGTCATGTATGTACACACTTCCACGTTTAGATATCTCTCAGCGACATGCGACAATGTTCGCCCTTGTGCGGCGATAATCAGGCATTATCTTTCCGCGCATGCGCTTGACCTTTGCTACGTAGCATGCATGTGTGCGTTACTATGCACTGTGTGGGGGCCGGCTCTGCATAACCTATGGTTTTTATCTCGATTCCTACGGGTTTACAGCAGGTGGAAGTTGAATGCATCTGGCTTGGCATTTATCTGTCATTAGTTTTCTTTTTTCGAACCTTGAGAGCGCGTTGCCATTTTGTATTAGAACTCGCATCACCATAAGTTGATGAACTGAACCATAAAAGGCAGTTCTTTCTTAAACTCTTACTTAACTCGTTCACATGAGGAAATCTAGATACAATAGAACTTTTATGACACATGCACACGACAACACGCGAGGTTAAGCCATTGTGGTGTGAAAGCATAATTTTCAATGAAAACAATAAATACACGACAGCAATGTCATATGTACTTTTGCGATTGCCAATAACATACGTTGGTGTTCAAAGAAACCCCAATTCGGCCTCGTGTTTGGATGTGTGCCAGCTCTCGTCAGTCTGCCATTGACCTTACGAATTTGCGCACTGGCAACACAGTGGAAGTAGATAATAGAAGTTGCGAATTCTACACACATGTATAATGAGCATTGAGAATGCGCGGTACGGAAATAACGTTCAAGGAAAACAAATGTGACAGAAGCTCTTTGTATAAAAAGATAAAATATGCCCTGAATTAGAAGCGTCCTCTTTTCTTTTTTTTTCAATGCGCAAAGGCTGAAGGCACCCGCTGAAAATGCTCAAAAGGTTCCTTTATATTTTACTGTTGAATGAGTATCTATAGGCAGCAAAGGTTTGTGCCTCACGACTATGTAAGCCATGGCCGATTTTTTAAGGTAGGGTACGTAGAACTTATACGAAAATAAGGAAACTGGTATTTATGCCTACTGTAAACTACCTATATTGTGGTGGCATCATTGTCTGTTGGTTCGCATGAAACCCGCATGTTCTGTGACCTAATTCTATAAATAAATGACAGATCCACTTCCTCAACAAAAGTGTTCTCACTTTCACACGTTTTCCAGACATAATTTACATGTAAAGTTCTCGCAAATGGAAAATTAACTATCTCAGTCTACCAGGTTGATTATAGATGTATTATTTAGTTCCCAGAGGTAGAATGGGTCATCAAAAGACGTATAGTATACCAGCTCGTGTAACGTTACCCGATAACACATCATATTTCAATATTAAATGCTCCCGACCTCCAAGAAGCTCTTCTTATCTCACATGTAAATGAATTCAAAATGTCAGTTGAAATTATTCTTACAGATAGGGCACTGAAAAGATACTTTCATTTCTTAACGTTGGCGGATGTATTGTGAGATTTGAACAGTAAATGGTTTTGTAAGTATAATTCTGTGAACTCTTGTATAACTAAACAATAAGTTATTCAATGACTGGGAGGAACTATCTTAGATTTCTATAACGAAATTTTTCACAATAATGCAAGTAAATACGAAAAATGTTTGTTCCTCTGATCTAAAATAAAGTATAATTTGAACATTATTGCGATAGCTTATCATAACAGAAGTTAATCTTGCCTATAAATATAAGTTATCAACGGTAGACAAAACACACGAAAAAAACTATTAATAGCAACTTAACAATATAAAATTAGCAAATTAAATACAAAGAATCATAGCACACAAAAATACAATAATCAAGCACAGTATCGTTTCTTCCGTTGCAATATTCCAGAAACAATATTAAGCTTTACAAAAAAAGTGTAAGGCCCAGAACAGACGGTGAAACGCAACTGCAACGAAACTGCAACTGCTAGTTACTTTTGAGTTGCATCTAAGTTTCTGCCATAGCGTCCGTTGAGAGACCACTCATGACGCGACCAGTTTGAAAGTTTCAGTTTCATTCATCAGAATCATCACAAAGTTGCAGTTGCGTCTGTTCTGGCCCTAAATAAACAAAATTAAAAATAGCAAAATACTGATCGCACGTGAATTCTCATGTTTCTAGGAAAGATAAATGATTCTCCTACTAGAAAATATTTGTATGAGCACTGTCATCACTGATTCATGGTTTATGTAACGTTTTTGAGAATTTGTATACGTTTTACATTATATTTGTTATCTAATCAATAGATCGCCAGACAAGCTTTATTTATGTTTAGTGTTCGATAAAATAGTAATTACTGAAACTGATTGTTTTCAGGTATTTTTAGAAACGTTATAAATGTATTATGAGTCGTTTGTTCGTTCGTTTTTTCCAAACAGAGAAAGAGTACAGTTTTGGGGGAGAGAAAATATTTTGGAAACCCTGGTGTATTATTTTTTCCTGTTTTCTGTTGTAACTGTTTTGTGGTGTAAGCAAATACTACTTTCATTTATTAATATAATTTATGCTATAAAGAAGACAGCACATTAAACTTCTTATAAAGTTTAAGGTTGGGTGCACCATCTTACTTTAACTTTAACAAACATCAAAAGTCTGTGAAATCCCATACAAAAAGTTATAGGTACGGTTTAAGTTATGGTGCAACCAAGCAAAGTGCTATTTTGCCGTAACAATGTACAGAAGAAGCATCAGACTACATTATTATAGCAAAACAGCACCAGTCACAACCACACAAGATTGTAAATTATAAATAACTTGAAAAAAATGCTTGCCGGGCGACTGTTCTTCCATCTGAGCTACGTAAATACTTACTTAGTGTAGTAATACTCCTAGAATTAATTAGAGCTATCCTAATGGGAAGTAGCGAGTTATTCCCAATACAAGTAAGTGTCTCTGACTACTTACCGGGAAGACTCGGTAATAACTCTGTATACAAGTATTTTTGGAAATAAATGTTTTTTTTTTATTTATTTTATTTACTTATGCCCGTTTTCACCATCAATCCCTAATTTTTAAGTGACCCTTACGGTGACACATAACCGGATTTTTATTTTCAAAGGGTCACTTAAAAATTTGGGATTGACGGTGAAAACGAGCATTAGAAGCTTTGATGTGCTATCATCTGTCAAATAAATCATCACATACCTGCAAAAACAGCGCGTGCGCTTGCTCAGCGTTGTTGAACTCGAAGCTCTCTAGATCCTGGCCGGCGTTAGCCAACTCCAGCACTATGTACTGCTGGTCGGTCGGCAGGACGGCCGGGTTGTCGTTTTCCGAGCCCTTGCACTCGTCGTACAACTCCCACAGGTCGAGCAAACGCGACGGATAGCCACCGTAAACGCAACGGACCGCTAATACCTGGGGATTGGTTTTTAACATCAGCCGGGTTAGGATGCGCGCCGTGATAAAATCTTATCGATGACTTTAGACGACAAATGTATGGGTTTATCACGTAAAATCGATCACGTAAGAGCTTATCGCGAGGCGCATTCTAGGCCTACAGGTCTAAAAGTTTGAGACGATATTTTTGACTGATAAAACAACTAGACAACAACTGGTAACAAAACAGTTGTTTTAGCTTCTATTCTGCCTACCTGCCTTGTTCTCGACCTCACATCATCAATACTTAGGTTTTCATGGAAAATCACAATGGATCAGAAGGCTAAGCCCAGTTAAACTAAGTACATATTGAGAAGATTGATCTTTGTATTTTGTATTACAAAACAAGCACAAAAGTCGATTTAATTTCAGTCATAGATTCTGTTCTGTGACTGATCTAAATAATTATTTCAACCAATCAAATCTATGTTTTTAAATTTTATTCTAGTTGTGCAAATCTAAAACTACATACTTACTGAGAGTGTTTACTAGCAATAAGGAAACCTACAACAAATACTTTTGTTGTAGGTAGGGTTGTTGTGGGAGGCTTACTCGAAATCCTAACTAATTGTCATTGATGAAGATAAGCCTATAAAGCAAACGTGATAAGGCACGTGACCATCGTAAATACACCCTTATATCCTTGAACATCAAACAAATGCCAACTGTGTCTGATTGTCAGTTAATTGACATCGCACAAATTATTGCGTCTGACCCTATTAATATCAAGCGGATCGCTGAACTATCAAACCAATGTCTAACACAAATAAGAACAATTTTAGCAAATCAACACAGATAACGTCGTCTCAAGATAACACTGTCCCAGTTTATTATCACGTAATTGGACGAGCAAAATGCCGCGTCTTTGTGTTGATGTACCGATGATTCATTAGCATTTCTTTTTAAAGTTTTTAATAAGCACTTTTCAATGTACAATAATTTTAATGACTCATATTGGACATCGAGTTACTAAGAACTGTTTCAAAGCATTTGTGTATTAGTCATCATAAAAAGTGATTTACCATACAAAAAAGCAGGTAGATGCAAGGGTGACCCAAATGTTATTGTAAATTATAATTGAAACCCTAAGGGGCAGCAGGTAGGTAGTTTTCTATAATAAAAAAAAGTTGCTTTCTGGCCAGGTTTTTTGCTGCCAGGATAATTTAGAAACAGGTTCACCACTATTGTTATTAATACTAAAAAAATATATAGAAATGTCATAAAATAAATTCTATACACCGTTATTATAATAAATAAATCAATTCATATTCTTACCTCATTAAAAACATCAGTTGCATTCTCTACAGAATGTAAATCCAAGGTATCAATCTCCTTTCCTGCGTCAAATTCACGTTGTATCTCATCTATGGGAGCGCGTAGTGCGCTCAATTCCCTAAAAATAAAAATACAATAAATTATGGAAATATTTAGAAAAAAACTAAAGACGTTATGACGAGTTATTTTAATTATGTAGGTAGGTTTAATATTTTTCCTGCATTTTATTTAATTACAAAGGTAATTAAAGAAATAACTCTAACCTATTGAAATATAATTTGTTAGAGTACTTGAAATTAGTTCATATAAAAGGTTAAACACCAAAACTTACTATAAATAATTCGAACAGAAATTCGGATTTAAACTAGCAAACGCCTGAAGAAAACAAAGAAATATATCAATTTACTTAAATTAAAACGTAATCTCTGAATACTCACATAGCAATCACAATCTCCGATATAATTTCTTGGAAGTCCTTCTGACGTTCCCCATTGACTTTGGTAGTGCCCGCTATTGGGACTATCTTCATCACACGAGCACGGCCATCACCAGCACGCCATAGGAAAACCTCTCCGTACACTCCTTCGCCGATTTTGCGGCAGTTTTTCAAGACCCTAGGTTTTAGAAAAAATAGAATGAAGTAAACAAATTAATATATAAGCTTGAATGCAGGTAGTCGAGTGATAAAAAGTTTTTATGTTTGAACTGTACAGACAAAAGTACTGAACCCAAACACTGGCGATCTAAACGATATTAGATGCAAGTTTGAATGAAAATTGTGTATTTTCATTGGCCGATGACTGTTAATAAAATCAGAATGTAGAGCAATTAAAAATGCAGTTAGTTGTTTACTTTTTAAAAATACCCACATTTATTTATTCTTAACTTTTTAAAATAAAATAGCATGTAATACTGCTTATTTAATTACTGTAGATATCAAAATACATTTAAAATCATTTGTTTCTAGCTAATAATATAAAACTAAGTAAATTTTTGACCATGATGGCATTTTTTTTTCACATAGTAGGTAGGTAGATGCAAATAAAAATACCACATGCACTCATAACATGGAATTCATTTTAGAGAAACATGAATAATTATTTCCAGTGACACAGATGTTTGAAAACAATGGCACCGTTTTATTTGCTCGACCTACATAAGATTTTTTACAAGGTCACAGCACCGAAATGCAGTGATACAATTCAAATAAACAATACTCACGTTTCTGGATAGCATTCATCGAAGAGTATCGCGTCTGTCTGACCGCATCTACGTAACACGTACTCCCGTGCTGTAGAAACGCGATTAGAAGTATCATGGAAATTCTCTATTACAGTGACTTCGTTTTCAGAGTCGGCAATCGAGAGTTTCGATAGCTCGACGATCGTATCATCACAATCCTCGTGCAGAAATCCTGGAATACAACCGTTTGCGTCAGAGAGCGCGATCATGACACACACAAGGAAGTGAACGACAAACTTTCCCCATGCGTAATCTTATTACGTAGACGATGCCAAGAAATCGCACAGTCTCTCGTATTTAATGGTGAATATTTTCTAAAACTAACCTGTGTATTGCAGGGAAAGATGCATGCACTTGGCTTTAGACACTTTTTGTTGAACAAAGGGGCAGAACCAAGCTATTATCCCGTTAGGGATAAAGAATGGTAGTCAAATCGATTTAATTACAAACACAAAGTTTAACACAAATAGTCTTCACTGCTATTACGTCCTTTGAATAGCACTAAATATTCACTACACGTTGTGTAATACACGCGATATTTAAATAAAAAATAAAATAAAAATTATGGACAAAGACCCAACGTAGCGTCTTCTTCCGCGGAATCGACGAAAAGCACAGATTAAAAATAAAGACCGTTTTTAGTATTTTCTACTAAAACGTGTTGCCACTTGATAATACAGAAGCCACAAATGGTAGAAAATGCTATTCACGTGGGGGTAATGAAAAATAGCGCCAATTTTAAAAATCATAGTAGGTAAACGGTAAGAGAATAAAATCCTTTACCTTTTAAATCTTCAGAAACAGAAGTAGAACATAAACTAAGCCTCGAAGCGTTAGGTTCCTGAAAAGAAAGTAAGAAGTAACATTTTATTATTTATTTATTTAGTTTCCTTTAAAAAATTACCTGATGGTTGTAAATACGTACTTTTATAATCCGAATCGTCGATCTACACGGTTTAGAAACAAATGTACTCCTGCGACTAATAATTGATTCATTGTTTAGTGAACCTGAAAATAAATCACATTAGCAGAATAAGCACAAGAAAACATTTGTTTTATTTAGAATAAACCAACCTGACATTACACTGAAACTTTAGGTGGAAGTGACAAATGTGTTTTGAAGGCAAAATCTTTTTAAATAATTCTTTGTAGACGATTCATAGACTGCATTAAAGAGGACTATTAACTAATGACTGATATAACGGTAAAAATATCTAATAATTTACTAATTGACTGTTTACTTTAATATTTACCTTTGAAATCTTGTAGTTCCATGGTGCTAATGACGCTTTGTCTGTACTTTCGTCCCTTGGAGACCAGCTCATCATCATCCAGTAAGGAATGGTCTAATTCCATCATCGTCATTCTTTTATAAATACTCAAGGACCTCTCCCATTTCTTCCCTGGCTGCAATACTATTGCTGGCTTCCCCTCATTTTCAATCAAACTTTTCCTAGTATCCTCATCCATATTACTTTCTCTAGGCAGTCTTGAAGATTTTCTGGTAGTTACTGATGAAAATCTAGCACTGTCGTTCTTGTCTTCACAGAGACTGTTTACAACTAAGTCTTCATCTTTACTATGGTCAGCATCACTTAGCCTTGTCTCTTTTTCCACCTCAGTTTTATTATTATCAGTACTATTGTCTAAATTTGAACTTATGCTATGTCTTGAGTTGTTACCATTATTGCTAACTACAGTCTTATCACAATCAGTACTACTGGCACTTCCATAGGAACTATTAAACCCATAGAGAAGTGAGTCATTTGTAACTTCATTACGCCTTCGAGTTGTTACAAAACTGATACATCTTTCATTTTCATTATTTGTAGTAATGTCTTTTTTTTGTGAACTACTATCATTATTTTCTAAGCTATTGTCATTGTTTTCTGAACTATTATCATTATTTTCTAAGCTATTGTCATTGTTTTCTGAACTATTATCATTATTTTCTAAACTTTTGTCATTATTTTCTGAGCTATTGTCATTATTTTCTGAACTATTATCATTATTTTCGAAACTTTTATCATTATTTTCGAAACTTTTATCATTATTTTCTAAGCTACTATCGTTATCAGTGAATGTTCCAGAAGCATCAGAGGCTTCAACTTCATCTGGCATTACATTTTTTAAGTCTGAATTGTCAAAGTTATCAGAATCATCATTTACAGACTTAATATCATCAATACTCATATAATCATCACTATCCAGCTCACTTGTCTCATCACATTCATCTTTTTCACATTTATTAGCTAAATATTTTTCGTAATACTTTTGTAGAACTGAATCATTTAGTCTTTCAATCTTAACTATAGGAACATTTTTGAATTCTTCAACGTCTTCATGGGAAGATTGTTCACTATTGCAAGTTCCATAAGAAGATTCATTTTCATCATCTAACCCACTAGAATTGTTTGTTTCATTACTGTCAGTTTCGGAATTTTTACATACTGTAGAATCACGATTTGAACTATTTTCAAATTCATTAATAACTGATTCGTCAGATAAACTATTATTTTGGTTTTCAATACATAAAGCTTCAGTTGGTTCATTTGAGAAACCATAAAAAGGCTCAGCCTCTGTGGTTTGGAAGTCACTTATCTCAATACTAGATATTTCAACATTACTCTGTGATTTCTCTTTGTTTTCAATAACTTTTGGTGTTATTGCAGTCAGTGGAGTGTCTGTATGCTCAGGACTTTTGCTGGTTAATTTATTTTTAAGGCCTTTCACACTTCTATTTACAGATAAATGTATAACAGGTGAAGGCTGATAATCTTCGCAGTGAGAATTAGATGTGGTGTCATCTTTGTCAACTATAACCACACTATCATTATCATTTTCTTCAACTATAGTCACATAATTTGGACTGTCATCGTTCTTACCAAAGCTGATAGGTGAGAATTTATAAATAGATTGGCTCCGATACTTTTCCTTGAACGGAGTGCTACACAACGGAGAACCAGACGGTGTTTGTAAGTTCGTAGTTAATCTATTTACTGCATAATTGTTGGGATTATTACTAGAGTTACTAGAATTGCCTCCATTTGAGTTTAACTTATTAAAAATAGATATGTTGTTGACTATATTAGTAATGGACTCATCCAGATGTTTTGGACTAGGTTTTCTCTCAGTTTCAATAAGTAAATCAAAAGCTTTCAAGTCTGTGACATTCTTTGTATTATTACAACTTTCATTTGAGTTCTCCTTATCAGAATCTGAAAAAAAAAACGTGATTAATATGGAAAGAATGTTCATCAACATCAAGAGGCCTTCACTGTAGTTTGGCAATCCCCACTCTGGCCAGAGGGGCAAGAATGTTAGTAGATATTAAATTAAAGATAAACACTTACCAAAACTATCACTGCTTGAGCAGTTGAACTTCTTAATTTTTGATAATTTCTTTCTACCATATGCCTTGGTTTCTCTGTGAATAGATAATAAAAATAAATATAGTACTTAATTACTAAGGAAATTAGTGTTTAAAATTCATACATCAATGTAATTTCGTGAAATGGTGTGTGGATAACATAGCTAGTGGTACTCACGGCTTATCGCGATATTTGAAAATAATAGGTCTACTATTCTTTGGAGAGTCGAACCGACCGGGCGAGGACGAGTTCAACAGCTGGTCAAAGAGATCTTGAACTTTATTGACTCGCAAAGACTTGTCAGGAGTCAGAAATGCCGACGTTGATCCTGAATCTCTAGCCGGTGGTTCGGGGTCTTTTACAATCCTTTTCACGTATTTCCTCTTACGTACTTTGCTAGCAGCAGTTCCATAATGGTTCGATGAACCCACACAAGACAATTCTCGCTTGGTTTGTTTAATATTTTGTATGTAATACGCTTCAAAAGCAGAACTTTTCTCGTCCAACGCTTGTATCACATCTCTGTGATCGAGGGCACCACCAGTTTCCTTTTTGGATCTGTATGTGCGACGCATCTTAGGATATCACACTTTTTTGACAAAAATAAGTTAGTTAAATCATTTTTGTCCAATATTTTTGTTTACTTTTTTTGAAAAGAAGCTAAACTTCAAACGGAAAAACAAACTTTCAACACACACTATTTTAACGACTGACTGTCATTTTGATCTGAATGAACGAATGAATCACAAGACTTTCTGTGATCTACTAGAGGTGGGAAAACTTTACCGGTATTACCGATACAATTAAAATGAAAATGAACTTCAACAAGTTTCATGTTTGTTCATTTCAATAATTTCATACAAATGGCACCAGTTCGACCCCGGGCCTCGGGGTCACTAACTTGTCCATAGATAGATTAGATCTATTTAATTTTGCATGCGGCGGAGCAGAGCGGCAGAGCCGATGAGCTCATTCTTCTAGTCGACCATAGATGGCGGATTACTCGTATACCTACTTGGGATTTTAAAATAATGATGCCCAAGCCCACCGTATTTGCGCTTACCACTTGGCGCCACTGTAGAGTGAGGTTAAAACTCAGTTCGCTAATGTACGGACGCCAAAGAGAAACATACTGTCACGGCCACGCACGGTGGGCCAGAAATCGACCTCCCCTTTCATAGGATTTTTTTTTTAAAAATTTAGTTTTTAGCACTTTAAAGTATGCAGGTGTTTTGAATACATTATAACATTAAATTAAATAGTATTCACGGGCCTCGTCTCGTCTTGTACACCACGTAATGTGTCATTTTGTGTTTCAAATGTATGAAAATGAAAACTAATTACCTTATAACTTTTTCCGGTCTTGCTCGGTCAGGCTGAAACTTTCAGGTATTGTTACCGAGTCCTTAACAAAGCTATGTGATATTTTACCTCGATCCCGAACGGTCCCGATCAGAAGTTATGAATCAAAACTTAACATCCATATTTGGATGTGAATGTTTTAAAAACTTAAATATTGTGTGTGTGTTTATATTTATGTACGTGTGTTTGTACCTTGTGTTTGTATTTTAATTTTAAGGAAAATCATCTATCGATAAGAAAAAAATAGAGTACACTTGAAAATTGCTGTAATTAAAAAGATATCAAGTTTCACAAATAACATAATGAAAAATCGAAAAAACAATAAATTAATCAGTGTCACAGTCAGACAGGTTTCCTATATCTACAAATTCAATATTTGCCTTAGTTACACTATGATTTAATAACAATTTGGCTTCATCTGAAAGAGGTTTATTACGAATCTGACTCATCTTAGGTCTAAAACTAGACAGGTATGGGTCAGAAGATATTAATAAATTATGGATGATATCCTCATTTGTAGCAATCCTACTGGTCTTACGAGAGTGGAAGGTTCTGAATTTCTTAAAATCTTTGTTCCGTGCTTCAGATGCCTCTTCAGAGAGTTTGCCGATTGGAATAAAATTGTTGTGCTCAATTATTTCAGCACCATGCAGGAGTAATTTATGCACGCTTGCCGGCATATAATACCAAGCATAGAGCTCGACATATCTTCGAGCTGTTGTAGCACAATATTCACGGAACTTTTCCACATCAACATACTCTCCACAAGATATTACTTGAAGAATCACACCAAATCTCTTTATAAGTTCCTCATCCACTCCCGTAATTTGTGCAGTTGCCCCAGGATTTGCAAAAAACCTTCTCGCAGTGTTCCCGTCATTGGAATTCCCTGCACCTTGTTTAACCACGTCCACGAGCAATCCCATTTCAGCTCGAAATTTATCTTGAATGGTTTTTTTCTTGCTAGCTAATTGTGATTTCAAATTCTCTCCTTTAGCTTGCCATTGCTTAAAATCAAGGCGGTAAGCAACATGTAAGATACATTCCATACATCTAATTCGTGCATGAAGGGAAGATAGGCCAAATTTAAACATATCCACAGAATGGTGTCTCTGCAATACCATGTCGAGGTTATTCATTTCGCTCGGTTTTGCTTTACAGATATCGCATGTCGCTGTGGAGGTATCTGATAAGTGTGAGGTTATCTTGCCATCTATCATGGTCATATGCAGTTTATGGTTCACCTTTGCACTTCCGTCAACTGATGGCTGTAAAGCTGAAATTTCTGTTTCAATTTTTGTCATTTCTTCTTTAATGTTTAAATCATTTTCCTTGGCAAATTTAAAATAAATAGGCCGGCAATAAAAAGTTGAGGAGGCTTTGGGATTTTCCCATATAATTTCAGCACTATCATCTCGTACCATTTTCAATGGTACAAATGAACACATGAATATGCTGGAATCATCACCTTCCATAGTCTGCTTGTAGTTACTGTGTCCAGATGCACCATCAAAGCCCCACTTACTGATCAAAGACAATTTATTTTCATCTGCTTTTGTTTCCAGAGTCTTGAACAGTCTCTTTACCGTAATGTCCAAAATAGATTGTAGTTTAAGTTTAACGCCAGTATCTGTTATTATCATACCTTCTTTTTCTACGTAGCACTCATTTTTCTCATTTCTCACAGCATTATAAGATGGGAATATATCACATCCCATATCTTTTAACATCTGCCTCAATACAATATATTGCCATTTTGATAAATTTAGTGATGTCAACATACCCAGTGCTTTTTCAGCAGGACAAGATCGCTTTGGTGATTTGAGGCAAGCTAGAAGCATTGATGCATCATTAGGGTGTTTGATTACATGTTTCACTAACTCAGCGAAGTCCGTTTGATTTTGGTTTTCTCCTGGTTTATTGGCCAGAGCATGAGCTAACGTATCAAAATCATTTTCTGCAATAAGATTTTCAGTTCTTCTTCTTTTTTGAAGGGGACTTAGATCTTCAAAACTTTTTCGAGCTCTAAATGGAGTGGTAGATGTCGACACAGAGACATTACGAGGAACATTAGGACTGGATGATGTACTAGGAGTTGAAAGTTCACTATCCAACATCATATAAGATATTTCTTCGTTTATTACAACAAAGTCCGGCCATTTAATTTCTGAATCCAACCAGCCAGCGAACTTCACCTTAAAATTGTCCAGTGTGCTGTTGGCAGATTTCCATTTTCGCTTAAGATTACTGGTATATGTAGCACAAAATGTTTTAAGATCGGTCTTCTGTTTTTCGGACAGAGAAAATTTTACTGAATTGACCACTTTTTCAAACAGCAAGTCCGCGTTAAAGGATGTTTGTCTCATGTACACAAACACGTCGAGATTAGAAAAAAGTCCTTCCATTTTCAATAATTAAAAATTTGCGTAAGGATAACGTTAAGGTATTAAGTACCAGTAATGATAAGTGAAGTGACATTTTATTATTATCAGTGTATTACGAGGGTAAATATTAAGAGTACAGCGTTATTAAATACCCTCACTAACAGTATGGTAATAAATTACTACCCGCATTTGATGAGATAATGTTGTAAACATTACCTACCTTCATTTAAGTTTACGGGGATAGTTAAAGAATAAAATTGTTTTTAAGTTTTAAGCAATAAACATTTGACAACAGTAAAATGTACAGTGAAACGATTCTGAAATGTCAAATGGTAAATTTTTTAACTAATAACCCAGTATTGATAGTGCCTTCCTTTAATAGCGCCATAGCTCGGTGTTGGACAACTTTAAATGCTTTGGTAAATTTGATTTTGAAATAATCACTTAAATTTTTATTTTTTTATTTTATCATATACCAACGATAGGTATGTTTTCATTTGTTTTATGTGATTTGGTATTTGTTGTGTAATGGAGCTAGCTCATACTTATTATTTTTCTGACTGTCGTACCGAAGTAATACATTATTTAAACGGGAATATCAGAAAAAAATCGCATGTTATTTTCATTCGTAACTCCTAATCGGGACCGTTCGGGATCAAAGTAAAAGATCGTGCAGCTTCCTTACAGACTCGGTAACAATACCTGAAAGTTTCAGCCTGACCGAGCAAGACCGGAAAAAGTTATGAGGTAATTAGTTTTCATTTTCATACATTTGAAACACAAAATGACACATTACGTGGTGTACAAGACGAGACGAGGCCCGAGAATACTATTTAATTTAATGTTATAATGTGTTCAAAACACCTGCATACTTTAAAGTGCCAAAAAGTAAATTTTTTTTTTTAAAAATCCTATTAAAGGGGAGGTCGATTTCTGGCCCACCGTGCCACGGTGACAAAAGTCACCCGTGCGCGCGCGCCTTAATTCCATCTGATTCTTAAGTTGGGCTTGGGCAACTCCACAGATCCATATCTGTGGGCAACTCGATCATCGTCAAAAAACCCAAGCTCCAATTTTTAAAAAATAAGACTTCGGGTCGGTCTGTTTAGGTTTACTATCCTGCTTTGCATTAGAGCTTAGAAATAAAACAATTTGGTCCGCTTATTTCTATATTTAAAAATATACTTAGTTCCTGCAGTAATAAACCGATACATCGCAGCAAACTACATTTTTTAGGTACCACAATAAAACTTACGTTTAATAAAAATCGCCAGTAATTTTTATGACAAAGATCTTGTCTTTGGCAGAACTTCATTTACACATTATTTTATTGGTCACGCACTACACAAGAATACACAAATAAAAATAGGGCTTTTTGCAAGTTGCACATATAGGTTTTAACGGATTGTACATAACAGTTGTAATGTAAGTCCAAAAAGTAATGAATAGGAAACCAAGATGACTATTTAGATTTTTATAAGTCGGCAGTACATTTTTAAAAATTTTAGAAGCCTATGGAATTGAAAAAATTACCAATTTAAGCGCACATCGCTACTTACTATGCGTCTAGCTGACTGTTCGACCACACGTCATGTCCAAAGCCGTAATAAAATCTTCCCATTCTATGGCAGATTATCCTAGATGACAACAAATCCATCTAAACCACTTCTGTACCAACTATTTGCTATATTATTGAACGATTTAATATGCTTCTCGTTAGCTCCTCCCACTGACAGCTACGTTCAAACCCTTTTTCAGATTAAAACAAACAGTCAGCTTAAAAAATACGTGAATTTAAGCAAGGATAAATAATGAGGGCACTCTCTCTTTGGGAGCATTCAATTAACAAGATTTGATTCACTATTATACAAACAAAACATTGCATTTCAAGAATGCTTCTGTTGAGGAAGCACCCTTAAGTACATAAGTGGACTTTTGCTCATTAAATATCAACCTTACTTAAATTACAATAGGTACATAAAAATCAAATTCAGAATCTTATACTTCATTTTCCTAAACCACATCATTTAAACTTTAAACTGTATAAAGTAAAATATCCCTTAAAATTAAATAACAAAATGAACTCGAATCTCTTGGTTCTGAAGGTTAAACATTTCATTTAGGTACAGATTTTCGGTTAAATTCATTATTATGTCAGACAGGTAAACATTTATAGCAATTCCACATACACCTGAGCCTATATTACCAGCTTATAAAAACTTATAATACTGCAAAATAGGGAATATTTTTTTAAACTATAATAAAAAACAACATTAAATTTTTTTCAATAAAATACCTAACAACGTTAATCAAAACCAAGAGGTATTTTTAAGGAATGGCTATAGCAGTGTTATAAAACTGTGATTTGAAAATAAAATTAACATACTTAATTTAAGTCATAGAGTATCTAAATTAAACAATATTTAACGTAAAGACCACCGTATTTAATGTAAAGGTATGGTCTATTTTTTATCAGCATTAAATACATGTCAAGATGTTTATTGCACATTCACAACAGTCAGAAAACTTATGAGCATTCCTACATTCCTATGCATGAGCTAAATGCATTTACACTTGAGACTTGACTCACGCGTCATGCCGTCATACATTGAAAATACATAGCAAGTATTATGATCTAAATAAACATGCAAAAAAGAGTTGAGTATATAAATGAAAAAAAATGTGTATTATTTTATTCAGTTGCATAGTTATTTGAACTGTAATAAAAGCAAGAAAAATTACTTAAGAGTAGTTACTTCAATTTACAAATATACCCTCCTTCTATACTTCCTTTACTGTTGTTTTTGTATGTATACAGAGATAATTAATGTTGCAATTTTATTTTCAGTAAGTGAATAAGTAAAAGAGAGATAACTAAGTATTGGCAAAAAAACTCATATGAAAAAGCCCTGGAACCACGAAACGGCAAGAGTCCTCCATGGGAATTCACGAAACTTTCAGTTGTTGAATTTACTACATTATTTTGAAGAATACATTTGACGTATAATTCTTAATTCATTTTTTTTTATTCCTGAAAAAGTTCATTGAATGTTTATTGTTACTAAAATGTGTAAATATACATATGATCCTCCTATTTTGCTCCTGACTGTACAACGAAGGAGTATTTAGTAAATAGTCTACGCACATTTAGAATTGCATAATTTTTATGTAGCAGAGATTCAAAAATAAAATTGTAATTGTTTTAAAGTTTGGAACCGCAATAAAGAACTTCATTGCCAATTTACAATGCTAAGGTGTTGCAGATTTAACTGCAAGCCATAGACAAAAATTGTGATGAATGAAGTAATCAAATCCCTTTTGGGATAAACTTTTGAGGAAACTCCTTACATCTGCGTATACATTTTATTACATGGATGGATAGCTCTTAGTGTCACAAAACCCTTGGTACTCTGATCAGAATTCCATGGTGGGATAGTTGGAAAGTCATAGTTGATAAGGAAGAGTTTCTTCTGGCAGTAGTCTTACTTCATCACACAATAGTAATTGTCTATGATCCTTATACATTACAGGTTCTTCAAATCGAAATTAGTGGCTTAATTAATTTCTTAATCACCTAGTTTACCTAAGATCTAAAGAACAATTTACAGGCCATTATGATTCTAATAATATTGGAATAAATCTTCTGTAAATGTAAGTCACATTATTTCATAAATTTTAATGGTTTCATATTGGCCTGTTACTGGGGCCATACCAAATCAAATAAATGTATATCTTTAGCCTTTAGAAAACTTATATATTTACAAACACTATTTTAGTGGCCTTATTATCACAAGTATCATAATTTTAATTTGTCAGAAAAAAAGATTATACAAAATATAACATAACTAAAATAATGTATGATGTAATGTATAGTCAAAATGTCCATCTTCACTTTTGACTATGAATGTACCTGTATAATTTTTAAAAATAGGCTGAAACAAAATTGCAAGTGTGCACTTGACTATACAATACATAAAAAATATAACATAAATCATAATTTTTTATATAACACAGAACTCATAGTTCACTTTGGCATGGCTCCAGCCGTTATTTGTGCAGACAACCAAGTCCATATAATATCACATCAATTTGAATAAATTCGTACCAAATACCTTAGTAAATTACGAGAACACATCTATAGCACGGGGTGACATGGCAGTGAGGTTCGGGTGCGTAGGACTGGCTAGCGGATCACTCATATGAGATTCACATCTTTTTGCTTCTAGCGTTGCTTGTTTCACAGCCTCTTTGTATGGACCTCTCTTTTTCTTCTTAAAGCGTATCTGAAATTGAATATAAACATAGTCGTAAGAAAAACATCACCTGTACATGCTTGTTTAATTTTGTTTAAATTGGTAGTCCGGACAACTGAAAATTTGTATGTAAAGTTGGTACACTGTTGAAGTAAAATCCTAAAAGACATGCTACTAACCTTAAAATCTTCTAAAAATGGACTCAAACTATCACATGGCATCATTGATGATGTAGTAGAAGCGTACCACGCAACATGAGCTCGTGACGTCGGAGAGATACTGAGGACGCGGCCCGGCCACCAGGGGAATCCCACCACCTTGCCCCACACCACGTCCCCTGGAGAAACCCGTATGTTACGCCCTCCATTGCCCTCTGGCCCATTGGCAGGAAAATCTGGCACTACCTCACTCTCACAGTCATCAGAGTCACTCTCCAAACCATCTTTCTCATATTTATTCTCACATGAGTCACCGCTGAGTCTTCGCAAGCTAATTGACAGTTTCTGATTTAAACAGTGGTCCTTTATATCACTAAAATAGTCCTTAGATTCACTATCTGTACATTTACTTGTGTTTTCATCACGTTTTTTCTGGGCTTTGTACTTTTTTTTGTGTTTAATTCTGTGTTTTTTTTCTAACGGATCTGTTGTGGGTTGGTTTGAAACATTTCTTGGAGACAACGCCCCTACATGCTTAGGAGACTGTTCCATCCAGGGATCTGTTTCTGTTGGGCTTTGTTTTTTAGCATATTTCTTTGCCTTTTTCATGGCTTTCTTTGATGATTTTGCATTTGGTTTAGTAGGTTTTGCCATATCACAGGAAACTCCAGAATCTTCATTGAACTCTCCTGATAATGGTGGTATTTTCACAACGGTGCCTTCGCCTTCCCCGAAACATATTTTGAGGGTGCGAGCACTTGAGAACATGGAACTAAATGGTGCCTCATCCCTGTCATCCTTTGAGTCAGGCCTGAGGCAATCGTCGCCTTCAGGAACACTGACAAAGGCAAGCTCTTGCGTCACTCCTTCATCATCAGCAGGTTTCTCACTTTTAAGTTTATTAGTCTTTTCACTAGTCTTATTAGAATTTTTGGAACCACCTTTGATAGCATTTGATATTTCCTTAGGGTGTAATCGTGATAGCTTGGGAATCAGCATGCTGCCCACGAGGTACTTTTTCCCGTGATGCGATGACTCAGAGTCTTGCACATCGTCATCGGAATCTAATTTGCGTTTTTTAGACACGTCCACATTTTCACTGTTTTCGTTGCAAATCCCTTGGCAATTGGAACACAAGACCTTTCTCGGTCGAAGTCGTACCGTCATCTTTTGCCTTTGTTGTGCTTTGCCCTTGGGTCCAATTTTTTTAGACTTCTGGTCATTTTCTGAAGCGTATTGAGGCTCTTGATACGAAAATCTTTGGCTAGCAGAATAGAGCTTATCTTGTTCATTTTGGGTATCAGCTGATTTTTTAGTAAATGCTGGATGAAGACTATAGACTCCAAAAGGCAGATTACTGCAAAAACACGGGTAAATTAGGGTAAATACTGGGAATTCCAACCATCAATCGATAAAGTCAACACTTGTATTTATGTTACCTACCCTTTGTTGGAATCTAGGAGAACACCTTGAAACTTTTTATTTTCACTGCAATAAGACACGACGAGCAAATCAGCCAAAGCTTCTTCCACATTAACTAAAATTTGAGAATTCTTCTGAATCGTCATATCGGCTGATGGTACGACAGCCGCCATATTTTTAATTGAAAAAAAAAAAAACTTTCAGTTTTCGTTCATTCAATCAATCAAGTTCATTTCCTTTTCTTCTAGGGTTCCGTAGCATTTTCCGTAGTAGATTTTTGTATGTAAGATTTTAATAAGATTTTCTTTCTTTTCCTTCAGTCACAGTCAATCAAATCTGATTTTGCTGATAGATTTGTTTCTTGAGATTATAATGTTGTTATTGTTATTTTACAACGATTTTCAAATTAGATTGTGATAGAAAAATGGTCTCAGAAAACATTGTGAATCAGAGTGAAGTATTGAGTTCTTGAGTTGCGTACTTTCAGGTCAATTTAGCGTTTTTTTTGCTTTAATTATTATTATTACCGGTCGTTATTTTAGTACCGCTATCCGGTATTTACATTTAAAAAAAAAAAGCTGTCAATCGGGCGGAATGTCAAACTGGCTCTCTCATTAGCCTCCTGTCAAATGCAGTCAGCTGTTGGATTAGCGTGAACGTGAATCGCGATAATTTCAAATTATTTTAGCTAAATTAATTCCGTATTTGTTAAAAATTACAAAAATAAGAAATTGTAAGTACACTTTCACATACGCATTGTATTATTGTCAACTTCGGAGATTAAGGCATGCATTTACGACTTACATAACTTCTATTTTACGTTTTAAACTGCTATAAATTAGTTACATACTTATTTAATTTATTCAGTCTTATTTGTACAGTATAATGATGTAAAAATTCTAGCTATTTATCCATAATAAGTTTAGATACTTCAATGGTCATCCGTGAAAAAGCTTTGAGACTCAATAATAGTTTTTTTTCAACACTTCACTAACAAGCGTTATGTTTCAAGGTGAGCTATTATTTAAGCTAATAAGCCGCAATAAAACCAGTTTTCTGTCTTCTGATATTGTTTTTGCACTTTGTATTTGGATAAGGAATAGGATATTGATGTACTTAAAAATCTTCTTGTACTTATCTAGACTCGTTTTTGTAGTAATTCATTCTTAGTTCAGTGTAAATGAAAATTAAAGCAGACACAAATAAGTTTCATGTTATTTATTTAGAATACTCTACATGTATATTGGAGTTCACAGCTAATTTTCATTGCAGAAAATGTCTGCTGTAGCAAGGATTGACATCACTCAGCCATTATGGGACCAGAGCACCTTTTATGGGAGATTCCGGCATTTCGCATTTATTTCCAACCCCCTACTGTCACTTGTGCCGGAAAAGGAACTGCATGAAGCCAAGGATTTATATTTAAAATATAAGTAAGTAGTAATATTTGTACCTAAATATTTTAAACTATGTGACTAGTTTGTAGCTAAATGATTCTATGCACCTCATAGATGGCAGAAAATGTTCCTCAAAATCACACTTTTGTTAACCTTTTCTATCAATAATAAATGCTGTGATCTTGCCTATAAATCACCAGACAGCATGCTTATTTAAAAAGTAAACAAGAATCACCTTGTTAACTTAACCAGAGGCTTAGATAAGTGACCAAATTGCCCTTGTACACAAAAACTGGGGCTTATAAAATCAATGGCACCCCATGGGGGTACCCAGCTTCTTGCCTAGTGGGGCAAGTCATACCCAGACTGGCAAGTCAGATTTTTTAGATCAGATAGTTTGACTTAGTTTCTTGGGGCCAGCTGTCCTCCGCTCCTCCATCTGGGTACACCCTTGAATGACACCTTCTAACCTTACCATCTGTCTAGCCCTTTATAGCTATGTCACTGTCTGTACTTAACTATTACTTTTCTCCTAGAACAGGCCAAGAGCCCAAAGGCACCACCATGGAGGAGGTGGTCCGAGCTAAACAGCTGTACGAGTCAGCGTTCCACCCTGACAGCGGTGAACTGCAGAATGTATTCGGGCGGATGTCGTTCCAGATGCCAGGAGGGTGCCTCATCACTGGAGCAATGCTGCAGTGGTATAGGTGAGTTTTTAGAATATGTGACTACCAACCGGGTGATATGGAAATCATTGGGGGACATATGTTTAGCAGTGGATGTTCTGTGGCTCAAATGATGATAATGTGACAAATCATGGTGATTATTTAACGGATATTGATAATATGATTACTACACACGATTTTACCTAAAACATATTGTGCTAAACTAATGTTGTTGACTTAAGTTGTTTAATACTTTAATCAAAGTAAGTTTCAGTATTAGAAAAATATTGTGATAGACTATTGTTTAAGTACTACATGTGGATTGTGAAGTAAGTTACACTATTATTATAAACTAGCGGCCGCCCGCGACTTCGTACGCGTGGACCTCGTTTTACTCCATTAGGGGTGGAGTTTCGTAAAATCCGCTCTTAGCATCTATAGCGCATACATATTAAATTTCAACTCTCTTACTTTAAACACATAGGACTTTCATAATATAAACTTCCAACACTCCTTTTATCTCCTTAGCCCCCGTGGTTGATTTCTAATGATACATTTTCAGTATATGTACCACCACCACCACCACCATTTCAGCCATAGGACGTCCACTGCTGAACATAGGCCTCCCCCAATGCTTTCCATGTTGATCGATTGGAAGCGGCCTGCGTCCAGCGCTTCCCTGCTACCTTTACGATGTCGTTGGTCCACCTTGTATGTGGAAGTCCCACGCTACGTTTTCCGGTACGCGGCCTCCATTCCAGAACCATTCTGTCCCATCAGCCAACAGTTCTGCGTACTATGTGCCCTGCCCATTGCCACTTCAGCTTGCTAATCCGTTGGGCTATGTCAGCGACTTTGGTTCGTTTACGGATCTCCACATTTCTGATTCGATCTCGCAAAGAAACACCAAGACATAAAATATCTTTATTTATTAAATTTTCAATATTATTTACGAACAGCGCTATTAATAGTACATGTAATATTTAGTTACTAATTTACTAATGATGTCGATAGATGGCGTTTGACAGCTTTGCCTTCATGAATATTTACGAACCTCAAAAATTTTTTTCAGGCGCAAGAAGATTTTAAGCAATGACGATAGATGGCGCTTTTCCACGTCTTATGAAAATCCCAAATATTTTACGGGACCCTATTGTTTTCCAAAATAAAATTTAGCCTATGTTACTCGTGAGTTATGTAGCTTTCGAATGGTGAAAGAATTTTTCAAATCGGTCCAGTAGTTTTTGAGCCTATCCATTACAACTAAACAAACAAACAAACAAACAAACAAACAAACAAACAAACAAAGTTTTCCTCTTTATAATATTAGTGTAGATAACAAAAAAAAACAATTATCTAGTTATGTACCTACTTCATTTTGTTTATTGCAAAAAAATAATCATATTATGGTAAATAATTTTGCTTGTTGAGAACTTTTACTGAACTGCTGGTTATGCCTACTTTTTAAGCCTAGCTCTTGGATTATAATATGATCTATTGCCTACATTTAAAGCCTATCTCTTGGATTATAGTAGGTATTATCTGTCGTCGTGACCCTTTCATCTCCCTATAATGCACTTTATGAATGTATAAATGTATACAGAGTTAATTAAGACTGTGTGTTGTTTAAACTGCGTCTGATTCAAAGACGGTAAAATGATCGCTACAGACAATATTATCTTTCTGTTGCCAAGCTTATGTATTCATTATACATACAAATACGTGTTCAGAATCGGATGTTCGAATGACGAATGTGCGAATAATAATTACCTATAGTCTTACTAGATTTTGCCCGCGGCTTCTCCCACCTTATTTTTTTCTGATACAGGAAAACTTACGCCCGGGCGCCCGTATTCAAACATTATTATGTGGTCTCACAGTACGCGTGGACGCACAGAGTGACACGAACCAATTACAGAGCTCTATTCAACGCTGTGCGTTCGATTTGCTGCTTCACTTAAGCAAGCATCGTTTGTGAATACGGGCGTTAGTCGCGAGCGTGTCCTCTTTTTCAACCGACTTCAAAAAAAGGAGGAGGTTCTCAATTCGACCCGTATGTTTTTTTTTCAAAAACCAGGATAAGAGCTATCCTCATCATCATTTCGGCCATAGGACGTCCACTGCCGAACATAGGGCTCCCTCAGTGATTTCCATATTGATCGGCTGGTAGTGGCCTGCATCCTTCTCTACCTAATTTCATCTAAATCGGTTGAGTGGTTTAACCGTAAAAAGATAACAGACTTACTTTCGCATTTATAATATTAGTGGATGGGCAATGGATGTATTGTCGATACGTAGGTACGTACCTACGTCACTGACGCAATATTATTAACACTTTCAGTAAATTGTTTTGAATAGGCCTACCCAATTACAGGAAATAAGTAACAAAATGTAGTCATTAGTCATTGCTGAGGTGTGAGTATCACCTGATGTCAATCAACATGAACCACAAGTACCTACTACGTTTAACAACTCAAAATAGCCCAAGGTTGCTTGAGAAAATGCCAATCGGACACACCTCCTCTCGCTACGCACTTCGCAGTGTTAAAAATAAAGCTGCAAAAAATAATCAGTGCGATGAACTCTTCATAATGAGTTACAAAGTTACCTTTTGAATGATTAGTCAAATCGACTTTTATTTACCTACTTAATTAAATTTTTTTCAAACAATGAATATGTCGCTAATAGGCTAGGCCGTAATTTACATGCGCGTGCGCCCTTGTCACGTGTCTAAGAAGTCATGGCACTCGCTAGTCTCGGTTGCTGGTTCAAGTCCTTATCGATCGGCATCGGCTAAAGGAGTCCACGTCTCGATAATATTTTTCTTAAATAACAAGGTTTTAAAGAGATTATTCAAGACTAGCTTTCCGCTCGCGGCTTCGCCCACGTGGAATTTTGTCTGCCACAGACAAACATTATCGCGCGCGTCCCTGTTTCAAAAACCGGGATAAAAACTATCCTATGTCCTTTCCCGGGACTCAAACTATCTCTATGTCAAATTTCATCAAAATCCGTTCAGTGGTTTAGGCGTGAAAGGAAGACAGATAGAAAGAGTTACTTTCGCATTTATAATATTAGTATAGATTACTAAAATTAAGAATCGCAGAATTGCTAAAATCAAGTGGCAGTGGCGAGGCCCGGCACGTAGCTCGTAGAGATGATGGCAGTTGGGGAAGAAAAGTTCTCGAGTGGCGGAACCACGGGCCGGAAGACGTAGTGTGACCTCCCACTAGGTGGACTGACGATCTGGTGAAGGTCGCAGGAAGAATCTAGATCCGGGCAGCAGGACCGGTCGTTATGGAAAACCTTGGGGGAAGCCTTTATCCAGCAGTGTACGTTATTTGGCTGAAACTAACAAATTCAAATTCAAATAATTTATTTGTGAAACACAGGTAAGCAGTATGATGTACAAACAAGATATGTGTTCAAGCCGTGATCAGCCTTGTCGGCATACAAATGTTAAAGCGTGATTTTAAGTATAATATTATGTTAAAGAAAAGTAATAATGAGCAAATTAAATGTCAAAATCATAAATGTCAGTTAAATAAATTGCAAGATTAAAATAAATTAATGCAGGGCAGTCAATCGGATATTAGAGTCAATGTTGTCAAGGAAGAAATTGTAGAAAAACTTTATTTAAATTGTAGGAACTCATGTACTGAATAAAAACTGTTACTGACCAAAAATATAAATAGCTTTTGTTTAAAGATTGAGATATCAGTGCACTCTTTAATATGATTAGGTATTTTATTATAAATTTTCGGAGCCATAGCAAAAACACCCATGTCGTAGAGGGCTGTCTTATATGACACACATCCATCAACGGCTATAAGAATGTTGCGATTACGCGATCTCGGTATTATTTTAAACAGGGAAGGGTTATGTCTAATAAATAGAGCCAGCTCAAATATATAAAGGCATGGCATAGTCAATATTTTTAAATTACGAACGAACGAACGATTCAAGATTTCAAAAACATTTATGCCCGTTTTCACTTTTCACCATGAATCCCTAATTTTTAAGTGACTCCAATGTAAAAAAAAATCATGTTAATTGTTACCATAGGAGTCACTTAATATTAGGGATTGATGGTGAAAACGGGCATTAATCTCCCATTTATTTGGGACCTTCCCAAAGCAGTGGTAAGGTCTATGTATAGGCGCATTTAAACAGCCTAATAGCAAAAACTTTTGACATTTCACAGAACAGCAACAGCAGTGGTCTTCTGGCAGTGGGTGAACCAGTCGTTCAACGCGTTGGTCAACTACACCAACCGTAACGCCAACTCACCGTTGACGACGACTCAAATGGGCGTGGCTTACGTATCGGCCACGTCTGCGGCTATGGCCACCGCGCTCACGTTCAAATTTGTCGTCCAGAAGCGCGCTAAAAACCCTATATTGGCGGTAAGTTTTGCCTTCCTTCATTAATTCATTCACATAACACTAAAGGTGCAAGACTCCACACAGCAGCCGTAGACGATTTTACTGGTAAGAAAGAAAGAAAGAAAGATACATTTATTACAATGGACATCACACAAATACAGGCAATTGCATAGACATGATAGTGCACATAATAATGGAAGAAGAAAAATAAAATAAAAACAAAAGTAAACTGAGCAGTGCCACCCACCAACAAGATGCCCACTGCAACGGGACCCCACTCAGCATATGCCGTGGCCCACGGTGACGAAGGCCACGGCGCTGGTTTTCAGTGTGCCCCATGCCGAGTGAGGGTCACGGACCATTGGTAAAATAAATAAAATATTAAGCTGCATAACCTTTATTGTATTCTAGAATTGGACTAAGAACCCAACAATAGCAGTAAATAACTTTCCTCTTCCTTAGCGCTAGATAGCAATTTCAGTACAGTGTGGTTTCGGCAGAGTAGAATAAGAGTACGCCCACTCTTCCCATGTCTTCAGAGGCTACTAACGTCAAAATAAGCGAACATCAGGCCTCGGACGGGATTGGCCTCGTCCCGGCTAATCCTGTCGGCCCCCTATCAAGTGGGGGCGAGTTGGGTCCCGTGTAGGGAGGGACGTTCACGGAAGGCGCCTTGGTCGTTTCTAGTACCCAAGGCGCCGACCACTGTGCTATGAGGCAGAGGGAATACCCCAGGTTTTAGTGGGTTCGAGCTCCACATAACAGCTGCCGTCCCCCGGCGGTAGGTATGGAATCCATACTAATATGGATTGGCCATTTTCCTGGGTAAAAAAAGTCCTCCCCAATCCGCCTGGCCAGCGTGAGGATTTTAGGCCAAATCCTCCTTTTGGTTCTGATAAATTAATTAAAGACTGTCTTTTGCAGTACACTTAACTAAATGATACAGAGAATGGCCAGTTATTTTTAACTTAAGCCAGACATTTTTATCTTTATTGCGTCGTGATAAGGTCCAATAGCAATGATTTTTTACTTAATTGATTAATTTTAATAAACAGTGTTTTTGTTTAACAGCGATTTATTGTTGTTTACAGCGTTTCGTGCCGTTCGTAGCAGTGGCAGCAGCCAACTGGGTGAACATTCCGTTGATGAGGCAGAACGAGATTTTGCTCGGTATGTTATTTGTGTCCATTTTATTTTCAATTTGTAGATGTTTATTGTGCAGACGATGGCACGTGTAAACACCGTGACATCTTGTGTAGCTGCTATAATAGTAATTTTGCAACAAAATTTGGATACTGATAACAAAATACAGTTATATTGTTATCAGTATCCAAATTTTTAGGAACGACTCAGAATCAGTAACTTAATTGATTTACGTAAAAAACAGTTTTTTTTTCTTAAGTATTTAATTATTTTTTATCCGCTGCGCGCGGTTTCAAAATTGGCTCACGTGGATAATTTGCTTTGTTCATAGAAAAATACGTACACATAGTTTAACTTCTAAAATAAGAGAATGATAAAAGTAAAAATAATAATGATATACATTACTATGCAAACTTCAATTGAGAATTGGTTTGAACAAGATCTAGAAAGTAGTATCTTTCAATAAATAATTAAAAAAAAGTTACTACTCCTTTCCTCATGAACATGTATTAAATTGAAATTCACATATCAAATACTCGGTTTGTACGGAACCCACGGTGCGCGAGTACGACTCGCACTTGGCCGGTTTTTAAATTGTTCTATAGAGCTTATTTAAAAAATTTGGATACTGACAACAAAATCGCCCTGTATAGTCTCGCTTGCTGCTAGATTTAAATAAATTATAGTCAATGTAATATTCTGATCTATAACATTATTTTACTGTTTGTCCCAGTTTTATTCAGTTTTCATAGTTTCACCAGATCATGCAGTCTTTTCGTGAATTCCGAAAATAACTAACGATTTACTGCGAATGCAATGCTAGTGCCAAGTTTTAATTAAAGGTCGTACAAAAATGTTACTAGGTGCATAACAGATAATGCTATGAATATTATCCATACGCTCCACCCAACGTTACTAAACTAAAACCTAGAAACATACCGACCCAATCCAATACAACCTCTAATATGGTTCTTACTTAGATTAATAAAACCTAGATAGATAGTCAGTGCACGAAAGGTGAGGCAGATTTTAGTAAGCCTGAATGGCTCACTCGTAAACGTCACATGAACTGTCAAAGTGAAAAATTGGTAAACACGTCCGACGACTTTTAATTAATTATGACGGTTTGTGCTGTGAAAGGGTGTCTAAATACATCAGAAAAACGAAAGAAAGTGACCAGTGCAGTGTTACATTTCATAAGTAAGTACTACGATTCGACGCGTATTTTGCTTGAATTTGGCTTTCAAAAATTAAATACGGGAATGATACCAGTAACAAGAAAATTTATTTCCCAATTGTTCGCCGTACAAATACACTTCCTTAATCCTTTTTTATGAAATCGTGACTTTTAAGTCGATTTATCTTATTGTAATTAGGTAGGTACTTTGAATTCAATAAATAAGTAAGTATATGATGCGTTTTGTTTTTGTTAAATATAAAATAATTAAAAACGTATTAAAAATTTCCCTACTTTCGGGAAAATCGCCTTCACTGCTGAGTATGAAAGCCGTACAGACGGGAAATGGGAAGAGGCTTCAGAATATGATATATTGTCTTGAGACATGACAAGTTTAATTGATTTTTGTCTAGAGTACTCCGGGCAAGATTTATTTAGGGCGGTATGGGGACCTGAGCAATGGATGTGTCACCGGAAAATAACAAGACTCGTAAGTTGATCAATATTCTAGGAAGTTGATCAACTTTCGGAAAATAACAAACGGCAGTTGAAATGTACTATTTAACGCATCGAATTCTAGCTAATTGGTCAACTTACGGTACCTAGCCGTAATTTAATAATTAACTATATTGCTACAAGTAAAATCATCCACAAATGGGCCAATCGTTGCCCAGTGTACTATTTGACGGTACACTATTATCCGTCACTTAATACACTTTTCTCTGATTGGTCGACAGACACTTAGATTATGTTGTTTTAATATTTACATTTTAGAGATAGGGATATTAAAGTTCGTCTATGCTATATAGTTAAATAAATGAAAAATGTTTAAAAAAATGTACCTATTGGAGCTCAAAGTTTTATTATTGTAAGTTATATTAATAATAAGTAAGTTTGTTTATTTCTACCACTACAGACTCCATTTCACTCATCATAAATAAAATGACGCGTTATAATGAGAATTATTAGCACACAAAACAACAATTGCTAATTTTACTACTGTAAATAAAGAAAATAGATAGATTTGTTTACGTTTAAACCTTAGGTTTAAACCGGTAATGGCGGCGGCCGAGTGGCGGGGAGCGGTATAAGAGCACGTGAGTCTTTTAACCAATCAACGTGCACCTTGCCTTTGTCGGATGATTTAACGGCAAGACGCCGTAAATTAATCAACTAACTAAAATACATACGTTAAATAGTACATTTCAAATGCCGTTTATTATTTTCCGAGAGTTGATCAACTACCTAGAAAATTGATCAACTTACGAGTCTTGTTATTTTCCGGTGACAGATGCATGTTGATTTGCCTTCAATCACCTCACAAGAG